AAATATATCATAACGAATATTAAAGTTAGCATTCTTACCTCTCCATTCTAACTGTTGATCAGTCTTGAAACGAGGTCGTGCAGGATCAACGTGAGGAAGATGAGCAATATAGCGTGCGGTATAATAGTTTACTCCAATGAAATCAGATGAATTTTTTAACATTCTGGATTGTTCTACGGTGAAAGATGGTAATCTCTTCCCGACTTGTTTCTTCAGTGTTTCTGGATAATCTCCGTGGATAACTGGATCTAAATGCCTAAAATACATATTCGATTAATAAGTATCTAAGGATTTACAAGAAGATATACATTGACTGTTTTGCATTTGATCTAAAGCTTGTAACAACAACTTACCAATCTAGTTCAATGGCAAGAGCTCGTTTAACAGCTTCCTTATCGTCAAGAGAAGTAGAGTCATAAGGCTCAAACCACAACGGTGATAACACTATCCCAATCTGACCGTCTTGTGAAGTCTGTCACATATATTATTTTAATTAATTAAAAAATTAAAGAAAATTAATCAAATGTACATTATTCAAATAAGAGCTTATGTATATGCACCTTGTTACATTTCCGGAACTCTTGTACAGCTGCGGCATGAGCAAGAAGAAGATGATGTGATGCAATATAAGGCTCGGTAGCGGAATCACCAGCTTGACACTGACTATTCACCCATTTCGAGCAACGTCCAACTGCTTTGTTGCCCGTATCATAGCCCGCAACAGTTATGATGTAAGGCTCGTTTATAGTAGTCCACATCTTAACTCTGTCTCCGAATTCTTCAAAACACACTCTTGAAAAATCTCGAAAATCTTCTCTGTTTAAGAGTTAAACTTAAAATCATCAATAAATGTTATCGTGCAAATCAGTGGTAGACTAATATAGTTAACTGGATATGCCTATGAGTATTTTGTTACGTCTACTTACATTATTTGAGGGCTTAGAAAGCCACTATACTCATCCTCCAGAGCTTGAGGATGATCCCAATGATAGAGGGACATCGAAGGTTGAATGCCTGCACATATATGTTTGTTCAAAATAAGATACTCCAACGTATATAAAAGAGTTAATTTTCAGAGTTAACTAACATTTTTAACTCCAATGTAACACAAAGTCTAAAACAGTTTTTTTGTTTGAATTAAGTCAACATTCTTTCAAAAAATAAAAGAGTTAATTTTCATGATTAGTTTACCATTAGCAATAAGCTCATCGATGAGAGCATTGTAGAATTGTACACCTTCATTGTTTACTCCATCTTTTACCTTCCCACCTATAAAGTAATATCAAAAAATAAGAAAATCGGTTGTAGAATATTTCCAAATAATATGTTTGGATAAATTAAAAAAAAAATATCCATCCGTTTTTTTTTTTGTTTTAAGATATTATTGTAACTGAAATTTGAAGTAAAATAAGGTAAATATACTTACTGGGTATCAATCTGGCCCACGAAATTGAAAATCTGAAAGCGTCCATATTAAGCTCTTTCATCAACTTGATGTCATCCTGGTTTATATAATTTTGTTCATTTCGATAATTAGTAAAATAAAATAATGGGTCCAAAATAAAACACAAAGAAATAAACTTTATCGACCTTGAATAACAAAGAAACAATATCGTTTGTCATACAAGGCTGAGGCTGTATTACCTTATAACGATGGTAAAAATCGACCGCTACATCTCCATTCTGCATATTTGTTCTTTCTGCGTTTGAAAAATTTACAAACCATTATACATCTATATAAGAGTGTTATACATACACATTGCTAGATATATAACTAAATAGAAGTAGAAAGAACCTGGAAAAGTGTGGCTGAAGTAATCCCATATACTTGGCGATTTTCCACCTTCACTTGTGGCACCTTCATACTACATTAATAGACAAATGGACCAGCTTAGACACAGTTGCCGCAAAAAGATGTAAATTAAAAATTATAGAAAACCCAAAATTAGAAACTCTATCATTTGTCAGTTTATTATTCATTGTGACGTACAAAAGGTGAAGAATAAAATCAACGTCGTCATCCTAATTTCAACATATATTTATAAGACATCTTACCTATATCACTTTAAATTTGATACTTGTAATGTCAAAAAAAAAAATTTGATACTTGTAGAATATTTACTTCTACATCAAAGCGAATAATACATACAAGTACGTATGGATCTTCGACTTCGCATCATTTGTCAACGTCATTCCATTATAATTAAATCCATAATCAATTATGTTATCGTAATTGGAATTTTTTTGGCAATTTTCATAGAACCAACTGAAGTATTACCTGAAAAGCAGACGCAGCAGTTCCAAAAACAAAATTATCGGGAAAACTACGACGATCGAGTACTCTAGATTCAGAAGGAAGAGAAGTAATCTTCCTGGACAACCATGAGACTATTAAAAGGAGGATGAACAAGTGCACCTTCATTTTAATTGTCTTTTGGAATTTTAAAAAGATGTAAATCTTCAAGGCTGAGATTTGTAGATGTTGCAAACTAAGCCGTTTCCTCTCGTATATATATAGAGCTAAGTCTCGTAACGTTTGTCTACGTGGAAAGATATATTATATATTATGAACTTTATATATTAACACTTTTTCAGACCTACACTAACTTAACGCATTGGGTAAAACCTAACCCTAAATCTAATAATCAGAGATTAATGGGATTTTAATTTTAGGGCTTGATTTAAAGGTTATATACTAGTATTACATATGTCTAGTTATCCTTTTGTGGTGCAGTGGTTAGTGTAATCTTGATTAATGAGCACTTTGGCGGTTTGAAGGGAACTTAATTTTTTTTTTTTTTTTTACTATTTTTCCTTTTGAAGTTAAAATGACGAGAAAATGCTTTGTTTTTAACCTTTGACATGTAAATCTCAAATCTGTTCTTCCTTTTTTAAGATTTATTATAAAAATCTTGTGATTTTTAATTGAAATATACCAGATCTGCAACAAAACATGTAAATTTGCATTTCAATATTGAATATATAATTTTATTATTTTTACCGGTTAATTGGTCGAACAACGTTAAATCGTATGCTCTATGGCTGTATAACGTTTTCCGGTGATTAAACGGTTGTAGCGACCACATTTTTTTGCTTTGGTGAAAAAGAGAACGCATTTTAAAACAAGTTTAGAACAAAAGTGACTTTTGGGATTAAATAATTATGTATTCCCTAATCCCTATAGCTACTTACAATAAGAAAAGTCATAATAATCAAATTAGGAAGAGAATTCAATTTGAGCTTCCTTCTTCTTGTACCCGCAAATTCGACCTCTGTTCATTTTCATCTTTGAATGTGGTCGGAATCACTACTTCATTCAAAATATCTGTGTACCCTATGCATGTGCGTTTGTGTTTGACAAGTGGAGACTGAATGTGGTCTTAATATTGACTATGTTCACTGTACTGTCGAAAATTCTCTTGCATGTAGAGAAAACTCAAAACTGTCTGGAACGCTTTCAACTTTCACGTTCAAAAAGCTGACGTTTCCTTTTACGGACTTTGATGTAACCCTGACCGTTCATGTACTATCCAATAATTTTTTTGTTGAACAACGATATTCATTAAAAGTGCAAACCCCTTTTTCTGTCGTTTTGGTTTTATATTTTTGGCATTAGAGTTTTTCATGGCATCCCAAGGGAACTGGAGTTCATTTGTGAAAATTTGTAATGCTTATAAAAAAATCCAATCCAGCTAAACAAGAGAAATTTTGGAGATTATCTCATGCTAATATGCGTATATATATATATATGAATTTATCTTATTTGGGATAAATATCCAGATATTGTTTCTTTTCAATTTTATTGGTGGATGAGTATAACAACTTAATTAATATCTGGTGGTATTTTCGCAAAATGATACTATTGTAAAAGCGATACATCATATTTTTTTTACTTAACGATAAATCCTAAATTCTAAGGACATTTAATTATATTTATGAAGTTAATAATATAATTTAATACAATAAGCATTTGTTTAAGTTAAACTGATATATACTATCAACGCTAAAATACTGACGATGTAATCTGATATGTATGTGTGTATAGGGGGAGAGGGACAATGAAATATATATCGTTAAATATTCGGTCTATTTTAAAAATTAAAAAATTACGAACCAATTCAGAGTACTATCTATCACCTTTGGAAACAAAGGAACAACGTGCTTCATAACAATCTTACTCAATCTCCATCAGCAATCTTCAAGCTTATTGATAGAGAAATGCGGAATACCATCACTGCCAGGAGGAACAGGAAGCATTTCCGTAACCTTATGGCCAAGTGGATGCATTGATCTTTGATTAGTTCATCCTTTTTGTTGCATCCTTGTTTTTTCTCTTTTTTTGCCAAGGTGTAGCATAAATTAGATCTACTTAGTTTGTAAATCTGAATCTTCATTTATATGATATTTACCTTTTAGCAAAAAAAAAAAAAAAATTATAATTTGTTACAGTATGTACCTAAAGGTTGTCAACATGTTTTTCTTGCTAAATCATTTTTTATGTTTGCTTATGTATATGATATTTTGTGTATTTTGTAATACTGTTGAAATATGAATTAAACTTAATTTAATATAGAAAACTCCATACTTGAAAACTTCTACTATTAACTTGGATAGCAATTATGTTTTTTTTCGAAAAAATAAATCGTGAATATGTATGTATTTAGGATACTGCATATGGACGCCACTTGTTTGGGCTTGTACATGGATATTGTCGCAATCATGTCTTCAGGCTATAATTAATAATGCCTGAGAACAACCAAAATTTCCAAATGATCCAATTCATAATACATTAATACCACAAATGATCATCGTTGTAATCCAGGAGATTATAAAGAACAAACTCTGTTAGGAATAAATTCTGTGGTGGAGTAAAATCAATCAGGTTATGATTATATCATAAAAACCCAATTGTATAAATAACTAAAAGTTATAAATTGAGAAGATAATTATAATACCACTATTCTTAGGATTCCTCTTTTTTTCTTTTGTTCACAAGAAAATTCATTACCTTAGTGGGTTGTTAGCCCAAGTTCATTACAAGGCCCCTAAGAGCCTATTTTGCAAGCCCATCCTCAAAACTTAAGGATTCACGATGGTAAAAACGAAAAGCAACAGACTCAAAAGAGGAAGACAAAAGATGAATATCAGAGATTCTTAAGAATCCTTATTATAAAATATTAAAACTAGGATGTTCCTTATGATTTCCAAACGAAAGGTACAGTTTCCATCAATTGCTTATTTTGATTTCAAGAAATTCTTGAACCACTTTGCCGATTTTTTCAGGCGTCTCTTACATCCATCGTCGAAATCCACGTAAACCAGCCCAAATCGGACGGTGTATCCCGTGCTCCATTCAAAGTTGTCCAACAACGACCATACGAAAAATCCCTTCACCTTAGCTCCAACCCTATTTCATCATTTAACAAAAGCATTTGCAATACAGTCCCATAAATGTATATGTTTGTTTATCTCTCCACTTATCCAAAAATAAAAATTATATTTGGTATTTGTAATGTGGGAAGTCGAATTCTTAACATTAGAGACAAAAAAGAATGCTTACGAGATCGCGTCCTTAACCATCTCAAGATGTTGAGTGTAATAATCGATTCTATTTCCGTCCGGAGAAACATCTTCACGGAGTTCATCTCTCCCTACAAATTATATCAAAAATAGTTAATTGTCAAAGTATATATATCAATGATCAATCAAGTAAGGCTCATGAATTTATAAATCACCGTTTTCGGTTATGTAGATGACCGGGTCTTTGAATTTATATTTTGTATAAAGGATAAGATCACGAATTCCCTTTGGATATATCGAAAGCCAATCTGATGCAGCCTATAAAAATTTACACCACACATACAAGGTTTCATGAGAGTAGTAAACTTGACCGGTCCATTAGACCGTGTAATTATAACAAAAATTACAAGGTTTTATAAGATTAGTCTATACACGTACCTTTGGACCGATGGGAACTCCATTTCTTACAACTGTTAACATAGTTTTGGGTTCGTTAATTTCCGACTATTTTTTTTCTAAAATGATAAAAAGTAACCTGGATGATACGAAAAACCGACCTGTGGTGTTGGCACAAGGATCAGAGAACAATGTAACATGTTCGGTGGAGCAGGGGATATCCATTACGTAAGCGGAGGAGTAATAATTAATGCCAATGAAATCATATGAGCCCCTAAGCATCTTAGATTGTTGTTCAGTGAATGTAGGCAAACGACCTTTTACTTTGTTAACCATGTCGAGTGGGTATTGACCGGTCACAAGTGGCTCCATAAAGTAGTCAAATGAGAAAGCAAGGACTCGTGCCACAGCTAACTTATCTTCGGCTGATTCTTCGGTATATGGCAATTTCCAAGCCGTGTTCAAAGCAATACCAACTTGACCTTTTTGAGATGCCTGTTTGAACGACATTCAAGAGAAAATTTACCATTCTCCGCAGATAAATAATATAAAAAGACTAGATGATTCGGATTATTTTTCACTAATAATGGTTATGAAGTCGGTTTTGGTTATGAACCTTGTTTTTTTAACTCACATTGTATTTTTCTCTGTAGACTTCTACGGCAGCTCCATGACAAAGGATGAGGTTATGACCGACAATATAAGGCTCGGTGGCTCCATCTCCGGCGATGCAATTAGGGTTTGTGAATTTAGAGCATCTTCCTGGAGCTGTTTTACCTGAACCATACCCTCCTTGCACAACTGACAATGGCTCGTTCATNTTTTTTAACTCACATTGTATTTTTCTCTGTAGACTTCTACGGCAGCTCCATGACAAAGGATGAGGTTATGACCGACAATATAAGGCTCGGTGGCTCCATCTCCGGCGATGCAATTAGGGTTTGTGAATTTAGAGCATCTTCCTGGAGCTGTTTTACCTGAACCATACCCTCCTTGCACAACTGACAATGGCTCGTTCATTGTCACCCAATGCTTCACTCTATCTCCAAAATTCTTAAAGCAAATATCCGCATAATCGCGAAAATCGTTTCTGTTTCATCCACCAAAACCAAAGAAAAAATTCAAAAAAATAGCACAAATGCTATAAAGTATAGGTTTGGCGGGCTTACACAATTTCTGCGCCAAGGAGTCCACCGTAATCATCTTCAATGCCTTGTGGTGTGTCCCAATGATAAATGGTGGCAAAAGGCGTAATTCCTATAGACCGTAACAAAATACTATTTATTATTTCTGCTTGTGCTGCGCTTATAACTAAAAATCATATGTTATATCTGAAGGGTGGAAGAAATTTGATTAGTCGGTATTACTTCAAAGATATACATTGTTCTCCTGAACTCAGAAGACAATGTTTTCAGATATATATGTCCAAGTTTGGATCCTATCTATCAAATTGGGTTGTCTCTTACCTTTGGACAAAAGCTCATTGATTAAGTTGTTGTAATAGTCAATACCAGCTTGGTTGATTCCTCCTTTAACATTTCCATCTAAAACAGAAACGGCTCATTAACTATTGGTTCTGGAACTTAATCAAATCACACGTGAACATCCTTCCAAGAGAAGAACTTACGAGGCAGTATTCTCGACCATGAGATGGAGAATCTGTAAGCATTGAGACCAATTTGATGCATTAAAGCCACATCTTCCTGTAATCCATTGTGTTAATATAAATGATTTAATCAAAGATTTTGGCTGATTTTGAGAATAAGGAAAAATATAAATAAAATATAAACTAGGTGATCTTTTGCATATTGTGCAAAATTAATATTTTAACAAATAAAATATATATTTTTTAGAAGGTAGAAAATTTGTCTAGCGTTCGATTTTCCGACTTTTACTTCACCAGTTTTTAAAATAAAAATAAAATCATTTGTAATTTGGCTCAGATTTATTTAATATAACATTGTAATAAATTTAAGTTTATCTATTTATTTTGATGACGAAACACTGTAATTAGCTTTAAAAATAATATTTCATTTTTTAGCCTAATAAAATGATCATCAATTGGTTTTTCATATTTAATAATTTCCTTACATCTGTTAGTAGATTAAGTACAATTCTAATATTTACAGAAACAGAACATTTTAAATAATTTAAACTTTTCATAATTTTTTTTGTTAACATACAACCACAAGTTAACGAAATGGTCTTTGATCAATTAACCAAGTTTTAGTAATCTATTTACCCAATTAATAAATTTCTATAGAATTTAACATTTAAGTATTCACAAAACTTTAATTTATACTTAAGCCCTTTATCAATTTTTTTTTTAATTTATACTTTCTAAATAATGCTAATTTTCTTAGTTAATGCCAAAAAGACAATTACCTTGTAACGATGGTAAGAGTCAGTTGCTACAGACCCATTGCTACGATCCTTTATTCTTTCTGGCGGATTTAAACAATGAAAACATTAACTGAGTTATCAACGATACTCCCATTAAAGAATCAAAAGATCAGAGATAAGGTTTGACTTTTTTACTTTATTCACTGATATTCCACATTTTGGTCGTTGTAAAATCTCATGAGAGGCCGACTAATCATTAATAAGAACAGATTACACAGATATATTCTACTTATTGCATGGATCGTCAGTCCAAAGTTTTCTTACGTCAGTCTAAACTACTCTCTGTTTTATTTATTGATTTGACTTTATGAGTCTTACAGAGAAAATATGGCCGAAATCATACTGTGAAAGTTTATAATATACTGAAAGCAAAAAGATGATGGTTAGCTCAATGATTGAATTTTTTTTGTTAAAAGTAGCTCAATGATTGAATTACTCTTTAGATCCTTAAATTCTGAAATTGGAATTAAAGTAAAACCTGGATATTTTTCAGTGAAGGTATCCCAGATACTTGGACCTTTACCATCTTCATGAGCAGCTCCTTCAATCTGACAAATGTTAAACAAAACCTCATAAGTTATCTAAGAAATGATCAGAGTTATTTTAAGCAATGAATAATAACAATTAGAAGAAACCAAAAAAAAAAGAGAAATACCTGGTAAGCAGATGTTGAAGACCCAAAAATGAAATCTTCTGGAAAATCACTTATTCTTAGTTCAGGTGTTGAAGAAAGATATTTGGCGACTATGACAATGATGAGAACTAGTAAAGAAATATATTTTCCTCTCATTCTTTATTTTCTTTTGATTGTTATATTTTAACTGAGAAGCTGATTAAGTAAGGGTTTATGTAAGGAATATAATTGTTTTGCACTAGTTTTGTGATTCTATTTATAGAGAAATTTGATAAGATCTGAAAGCGAGATCTATAGAGAGAAACTGACAATTTTCTAAACTATTTTTTACGGCAAAAAACCAATACAATAAAAGTTGAACTAACATTATGTACTTATCTCTCTCATTAAAACCTTTTTAATCAAACTCTCATTAAAATAAAAAGATGCAATTTTTTCTTACATACGTAAAATATTACCCTAATATTCAAGTCCGGTACAGAAGATAAGTACTTAAATCACCGATCATAGTATCCAATATGAAGAGACAGTTTATGGGTAAAAATTTGTATATTGCTATAAATAATTATAAGTGGTTTCCGAAAACAACTATATTTTTTATTTTGGCAAAACTATATTGTCCTTTTATAAAAAAGATAAAAACATAATCTTGTTTCATATATGTTTTTTTTCCATGGTATTTGACGAATAGAGATCCAACTAACTAGTTCTTTAGTGGCATGTCCACCGGCATCAGACAAATTTAATAGTCCACAATAGAAATTAAAACTCATGTCGCATAGCCACACTGTTTAGTATCATGGGATTGTTTCAAATCCAGATCACTTAGGCCACCCGCATTGGGGGATTTTAATGGGATTCTTAGAGAGAGTATGCACGTTTCCCGAGGAACCCATCTCCTCTCACCTCTTCTGTATGAACCGAGTTCGCTGACGTCATGATGATGTCATGGGGGCGCCATGACACGTGGCGGCTCCCATTGGTCCAATTTTTTTTTTCTTTTTTGAAAAAGTAAACGAAAAAAAAAATAAAAAAAAATAATAATAAAAAGACAGGTGGCGAACCCACCTCGGTATCACTGATGCAAGTGCTCTTATATCACGAGATTCATTTACCACTAGACTATCCATGTGTATAAAAATTGTGAGTAAAAGTATTCTAGAACCAATATAAAATATATATATAGCATGCGAGAAAAAATATTTTATACTCTCTCCGTTTCGAATTAATTGTCATTCTGGAAAAAAAAAATTTGTTTCAAAATAAGTGCCGTTTTAGAGTTTCGAAAAAGAATTTATTAGTTTTATATAATATTTTATTTTTCTATTGGTTGAAAATTGGTTAGGTGTATATATAATTGTATTTTTTCTTGAAAATATGTAAAATTAAATATTTCCTTAATCTGTTTGCAAAAACGTAGAATGACCATTAAAATGAAACGGAGGGAGTATATGTTTTTTTCCTGTTAATACTATAATTAAATTTTATATTGGTTTTGGAAATACTTTTACACACAAATTTTACACATGCTATAATTGATATTCATAACCTGGGTTTTTAGCTTAAGTGCTAAAGAACTCACGGCTGTGAGTTTCGAATTCGAAACTCGGCCACTAGGAGATTTAACATGTGGACTCTTTAGTGTCCGAAACCAAAGATCGTTATAGATGAATCATATGGTGATGTCCTGGCAGCGTCCTTGCTCGTTTTGATTTCTAGTCTTAACTATTTCAGTGGGATTAGGATACTCGGTTAAAAAAAAAAGAATTCATTTACCAACCAGAAATTCCAAATGGTCCAAGATTGTTATTTAGGAGTCGAAAGTTGTTACATGTAGAAAATATTACTCCCATCTTTTAGTCGTACTAACAATGCATGGGACCAAACAAATTTTCCAAATGATCCAGTGTTGTATAAATAAGATACTTCCACATCTGATCAAATGTTGTTACATAGTTTAGTATTACTCCCAACCTTTACACATGCTATAATTAATTACACATGAGACAAACCAAGCTTTCCAAATGATCCAACTCATAATACCACAAATGATGATCGTTGAAAACCAGGAGATTATAACAAATAGGAACAAACTCTGTGGTGGAGGACAATCAATCACGTTTGTTTTTTAATTAATCTGGGATATCCCATTTTACAACAGAATGTTTTTTTTATTAAAGTCTATTTCAAAAGAAATCTGACATAATTAATATTTTTTTGATTTTCTTTTCTCCAACACTTGCGACTGTGTCCTTTGTGTTAAGAGTGCTCTTTCCAGAAAGGTTTCAACGAGATGATTTTTGAACAGCTGAGCAAATAAATCTTTCTCTTGTTTCAGCTTTATCATTCCCTCCTATCTCCTGTGAATTTACTTCATCTTCTTGTGTAGGTTCATTTTCTGTCCCAGGCAGAAATTCTCTCTCCTCTGTGTCCTTCTTGATAGCATTGTTATCATTACCTTCACCCGAATCAACTTGACCTTCCTCTACATCTACAACCGCAAATCGGGATGGTGAACTAATCTTCTGATCATGAACATGGTCCTTGCCTACTGATCTACCCATCTTCGAATGAATTACGTATGTATTGATGTAACTATTATCTATATGGTTATATTTATGTGGATAAAGTTTATGTAGATAATAGACAGGTCTTGTGTTCATAGTTTTCATGGATACGATGCAATATTTAATGACAAAGCTAATGTTTTTATGTCCAAACCAACAAACAAAGTTCTTAAAACATGATAACAAAATTTCTAAAATCTGGTTCATGTCCACCAAAACACATCCATAAACCTCATGTCCATCTTAACATACCCACCGATTAACCACAAAATAAATACATACATCCGTTTGCATTATAAACAAAACAGTCAGAAATACAGAATTAGAAAAATATAACCTCCAAAAAACAAAGTCTCTTCATACGATTTTAATAGAAAATTCAAAGTTATCTCTCAACTATTAATTTCTTCCACCAATCTTTTCTCCCAACTATTAGATTGCCTTTCTTTTAGAAATTTAAAAGTCCAACACACCAACCTCTACTCAAAAATAAAGTCGTATTTTTTTGCTAACGACCACACACTACAAACTGTTGGCAGCTTCCTCAAAACAAACAAATGGCATAATTGACAATAGGATCCGTACATACAAATTGTTCAGTGTTCGAGAGCATACATTTAATAACTTCAAATCTAAAATTTTAAATTTTTTAAAAGAAAAATCTAAAATTTCAAATTTGAATAATGAAACTTCAAATATAGAGTGTCACTACTCAAAACTTCAAATTTGAAGTTTCATATTTTTATTTGTATTTGAATCATTACAATTATACATTATAATAATTCTTATATATATATATATATATTTTTTTTTTGATAAAAAAATCTTATTCTTATATATTTTATGGTTTATCATTTTAACCCTTAAAAATCTCTATCTCGTAAATATTTCAAATTTTGTTTTATAAATTTAAGTTTTATACATAACTTTTTTTTTGAAACAACAAGATGAGATTTAAAATAACTAAAGTTATAAAGATTTAATGTGGTATTTTATTTATAGTTTAATATTTAATTATATAGTTCTATTAGTAATTTTATATTTTAGTGTAACATTTTATCATTTAATATTACTGTAATATTTTTATATATGTGCTAGTTATTTATAATTTTTTTATGAATTTGAACTAATTATGACAGTCATAATATAAATATAAATAGTTTTAAAGTTAAGTTTAAATTTTTGCTTTTAAAGCATAACACCTACAAACTTTATATATAGAATTTAGAAAACTCTAAAATAAAATATTTTTTGAGATGTTCTAAAAAGACAATGTATCTTCACATGTGAAATAAATCATAATGTGTCTTTTAGTGTAAGGTTTTTTTATTTTTTCCGAATGGTTCTGTTGACATTAATTGCTTCATCTACCCACTCGAAATTTGTCAAAGAGGCAACAACGACCACGCAAAAAAATCCCTTCAAATTAGCTCCAAGAATATTTTATCATTTAAAAGCACATGCGGCACCGTTACGTAAATGTATATGTTTGTTTAAGTCCACCTATACATAAGATTATCTTTGTTAGTGTAAATGTGGGAAGTGGAATTCTTAATAGTAGAGATAAGAATGCTTACGAGATCGCGTCTTGAACCACCTCAAGAGTTTATTCTTGGTGAGAACTTCATTGGAGAGTCTATGACAAGTGAAGAAAGATACTTTCCTCTCATTTTTAATTTTCTTTTGCTTGTTATCTTTTAAGTGAGGAGATGACTAAGTTGGGGTTTATATATATAAGGAATATAATTGGTTTTGCACTAGTTGTGTGACTATTTATAGAGAAATTTGATAAAGATAATTTGATAGCGAAAGAAAGAGTTTGACAATTTTCTAAATTTATTTTTTATATGGAAACAAATCACTAAAATAAAAATTCAACTACAGTATGTACTACTTATCTCTCTATTAGACAAAAAGTGTAAGTATAAGGAAAATATCTCTCTATTAGATACTTAAACCCCTAATTATACTTAATTTTATATTAAATTTTATTTAATTCTTATATGTAAAAAGAATTAGAAGAGAGTTAGTAATATTATAAAACTTCTAACATTATTTATAAAAAATATTAATAATTTAGTTATTAAATAATTACTTAAGGATATTAGTAAAGTTTAGTTTAAGAACTTAAAGGTACTGATTGACAGGAATTTCTTAGCAAAATATATTTATTTTTATATATTAAACAATGAAAATGACAATCTTATTTTTTAATATTTGTAGTGAATTTAATTCCTCATATTTCTCTAATATGCTTCTTTCATCACTGTTGTTATAATAATAAATATTACACAATATCCGTTCTATTGAGATATAACTTTTAGAAAAAAATGTTTCACATAGATAGAACTTTTATGTTTTCTATGAAATTTTAATTAGTTATTAATAAAATTTGTAAACTTAGAAATTAAATTTTATTTATTTAGATATATAAGTTGAAGAATTTAAATTTTTTATAAACACAAAAACTGATGCATTTATGCTAACAATTTAATATGTTTTCTTAATATGTGAAAACATTAAAAAATCCATCTCTAAAGAATGGATGTAGTATTCAATAAAAGAAGATTGATATTTAACTCTTTTTTTTTGTATATCAAAATTTTCTTCTATATCTTTTAATTAATGCATCTTTTATTAAAATTAAAAATAAATTTGAAATGTGAATGATAACTTTGTTGCGAAGTCAAAGAACTTAAAAACAAAACTAAGAAAACCAATTGAGAAAATGTATATTTAATTTTTATTATATGTGTGCGAATTTTAAAACATCAAACTTTTAAATGGAGAAAAAAGAAGTATGTTTTAAGTGATAAAATTGCTTTTTAAAATATATTTACTGACAGCTCTTACACATGCTATATTTAAATTTTAAAATGAAGCATATATGTTTATTGTACAAAAATATTGAGATATTATCATTGGATTATTATCTGTATTAACTAATATTTTATCTTTTTATTATATATTAGTTATATAAATGTTATATATTTTGTATACTCAAACTCTGAACATCTATAAAACTAATAGGAATATAATAAGTAAGTAAGTAATTGAATGTTATTTAGTTTTATGTCAATTTTATATTATTTATGTAAATTACTATTTAAAATTTTTGAAAATAGTAATTATATATAATATAAATGGAAAAAAAATTGATAGAAAAAATTGATATATGTTTGATATTCACGAAACAGTAAAAATAATTTAATATTGATTTATATTATATTTATTAAGTTATATATACAAGCAGTTATTTATTAAACAAAAAAGAATTTGTTAAGATATATTGTTTGAAACAATCATTAATGTTAACTACAAATAAATTTAATTGATTATATTTTCAACAAATAATTTGTTAAGAATGATTAATGCTAAAAACTATGATTAGTAAGTTAATGGTAGTTTTAAATAAAAAAATGATCAGTTTGAGAATACTTAGGTAGATAGATAATTAATGATAATTTTAAATAAAAAATTAATTAAAGAGAATTGCATAATTTGATAAATACTATTTCCTCTGTTTCAATTTAGTTGTCATTGTAGACTAAAATTCTCATTTTTAAAAATATGTTGTTTTATAATTTCAATGTAAAATTTATTGATTTTATCTATTATTTTTTTTATTGGTTGAAATGTAGTTAGATGTATCAATAATTGTGTTTTTTAGAATATCAAAATTATTATTTTTTAATCTGTATGCAAAAACCCAAAACGATAAGTAAAATGAAAAAGAGTAAGTAAGTATGGGTGAAGTCATATGGATTCTTTAATTTTAATAAAATAGATGCATGGACCGGCCATTAATTACAAATGGTCCAAGGTTTGTTTACATTGGAATCGAAAGTTGTTACATCGATAATTTTACTCCCATTTTTTACACGTGCTATAACTAACAATGCATGGGACCAACCAAAATTTTCAAAGATCCAGAGTTGTATAATAGGATATTTCCACATCTAAGCGAGATATCGAATGGTGTTACATAGTTTAGTAATTTAGTACTACCCCCATTTCTAACTTCTAGCATGCTATAATTAATAATGCATGTGACCAACCAAATTTTCCAAATGATCCAACTTATAATCCCCCAAATGATCATCGTTGAAAAGCAGGAGACTATAAAAAGGAAAAAAAAAATTCTGTGTTAAGAGGAAAATCAGTTAAGGTTATATTATGAAAACTCCACTCACGTTCGTAGTATAATTGTATAAATAACGAAAAGTTTTAAACTGAGAAAGATAACCTGATTCTTTGGACTCCTTATTATTTCCGACTGAGAAATTTTTAACCAGGATATTTCTTATAATAACGGAGATATTAATAAAACAGAATGATATCAGTTTCCATCAATTGCTTTTTTTTTTTTGGGGGTCAAACATCAATTCCTTTTCTTTGGATACAAAAACTTCTTGAACCAATCAGTCATATTTTTCGGGTATCTCTTACATCCATATTTGAAATCCACGTAAACCAGCCCGAAACGAGCGGTGTATCCTGCTGCCCATTCGAAGTTGTCCAACAAGGACCACGCAAAGAATCCCTTCACATTAGCTCCAATCCTGTTTCATCATTTAACAAAAGCATATGCAGCAGCGTTACATGTATATGTTCGTTTATTTCCACATATACATAAACTTAATAATTGGAATGTGGTTAGTGAAAATCTTAACATTAGAGACAAAAATGCTTACGAAATCGCGTCTTGAACCATCTGAAGATGTCGAGCGTAGAAATCGATTCTATCGCCGTCTTTGAGAATTTTTTTACCGGTATCAGTTTCATCTCTCCCTACAATTTATATCATCCCGAACTATAAGTTGTGCAGTACCGTTTTCGGTTATGTAGATGACCGGGTCTTTGAACTTATATTTTGCATAGAGGATAAGATCACGAATTCCCTTTGGATATATCAAAAGCCAATCTGATCCAGCCTATAAATACAAAATCCACACATACATGGGTATATGAGACTAGTCTATGATCTCTGAACATTGGCCGCCGGTCCACTAGACTGTGTAATTATAACCAATTTTTTTGCAAGGTTTTATGATATTAGTCTAGACAAGTACCTTTGGACCGATGGGAACTCCTTCTCTTTCACCTGTTAACATAGTTTTTGCCTCAAAATTTTTTGACTAATTTCTTTTAAAATGATAAAATTAACTTGGATGATGCCAAAACCGACCTGTGACACTGGCACAGGGATCAGAGAAGAGTGTAACATATTTGGTAGAGCAGGGGACATCCTTTGCGTAAGCGGAAGAGTAATAATTTATGCCAATGAAACCTGAGATATGACTTGAAGTTAAAACCTGGATCATTTTCAGAGTATGTATCCCAGATACTTGGTCCTCTACCATCTTCATGGGCGGCTCCTTCAATCTGAGAAATGTTAAATAAAACGCCATAATGATCTATCAGTTATCAGATTTATTTTTAGAAATGAATATATAGCAACATTTAGAAGAAACCATAAAGAAATACCTGGTACGCAGATGTTGCAGACCCAAAAATGAAATCTTCTGGAAAATCACTTCTTCTTAACTTAGGTGTTGAATAGTTGTTCTTGGCAAGTACTTCACTGGAGGCCAAGACAATGAGCACTAGTAAGCAAATATGTTTTCCTCTCATTCTGAATTTTCTTTTGGTTGTCAATTTTTATTTGTTTAGAAGATGATGAAGTTGGGTTTGCACTAGTTGTGTAATTCTCTATAAATAGAGAAAATTTTGGCTGTTTTATAATTTTGTTAAATAAGATACTATGTAAGTAAATTGTATTTACCATATTTTATCAGATTGAGAACAGATCTATCGGTCGAAATACTACTACTAAAATAAAACCTAACACGATATATTTATTTAATTAATTCATACTTATTTTCATGTGACCAAAACAAGTTACTTTTTAATTCTCCAGAAGTCTTGTTAAGTAAGTTAATTTAAATGATAAAAAATAAAGAGACTTGATAAAAACTAGTGTCTTGCACAAAAAACTTGTGTTCACATGCAAAAAAAGACTTGTCCTCCTTAATTAATGTCCACATGCAATAAAACTATTTTATAGTTAGTTTCCCTTTTAATTTTAAATATATAAGTAAATTACTTTAAAATACAGTTTTCTCTTTTATAACAAGTTTTTTTGTAACGGCTATTTGTTTCAAATTTTGTTGGATTACTTTTTGAGTTTCTCCTAACGTTGTTTCAAAGATTTATTATATAAAATGTATGTACTTCTTGGGATACTTTCACAGGTTGGTGTGGTGTGGAACACGTTGGGAGTATAGACCTGGCTGTCAAAATACTACTATTAAAACCAACATGATATAATTAATTAAAACTCTGATTTTCATGAGAAGAATCAAATTATGATTCTCGAGGATCTTGTCAGGGAAGTTATTTTCATTGATAGAGTATATATAAAGCAATGACTATAATAGATACTTTTTTGACAAAAGGGTATTCAAAATCTAACAGAAACTTAGACATCATTTTCCTTTTTAATGTTTTTCACCAAATAAAACTTACTAATCTTAGTATATATATATGCATAAAGAGCATATCACAAATACAATAATAAAATGATTTTTGGATTTTGAAAAATATTTCTTACCAGATTCTTAAAGTTTCTTGTTTGGAAATACTAATATATTAGAGAAAAATCACTTATTTTTAAAAAAAAATATATGCGAAAAGAAAGAGAATGTGGGTTGTATTATGTCAATAGTTTCGCATTTTCTTTTTTTTTTTGTCAAACATTGTGTCATATATGCATACGTAATAATAACGATCATTTGTTTTGAACCTTTTTATTCACGTTTTATTCACGAAGTAAAGTTTAAATAAACAAATATTGATACTAGAAAAAGAGTTCAAGTGCTTTTGAGGACTCGGACATCTTTGGTATAAAACAGGAAGGCAAACCAGAAGATGTTAAGAATCTCTTCCTCTTCTTGTTAACAACAGAATTCAACATCAACCCTTCTTTCTCCGAATCTTCAATCTCTTCTTTCTTCAAAAACTCTTTGAACCACATTGCTGACATTTTTGGATAACGTTTTAAACCATTGTTGTAGTCTACGTAGAATAGTCCGTATCGAACACCATAACCGGCGTTCCATTCGCAATTGTCAAGCAATGACCATGCATAGTACCCTTCTACTTGAACACCATCCTCCCTAAAAAGAGAATTACGCACAATTAATACTAAGAATTTTTGAAAGAAGAAAAAAACTCAATTAAGCTTTTTGCACATGTTTCTTGCTTGCCAAGTAACTAAAAGATAATAGAGACTCACTTGATGGCTTGGTGGATGCTTTGGAGATGTTTTTCGTGGTACTCTGTCCTCTGAAGATCCATCAGATTCGAGAGTTTAGCTTTCTTTTCATAGTCTATATCGCAATGTCCTACATAATTGTTGGAATTTTTAGTTACTTTCACATAAGGAAGAATAGAGTTCTGAGGAGGAGGCTACAGATGAATATAAAAGGAAATTTACCATTTTCAGTTATCATAAATTTAGGGCTTCCGTATTTCTTTTTTGCATGATTTAGAAACTTTCTTAACCCTTGGGGATATAAAAAGTCCCATTCTGAACCACCTCTAGGACCCAAAATTTCTCCAGCTTTGTTTTGTTCTGTTTCATAATAAAGTAATGAAAACTTGTGAGTCAAGAAACCGAAAATAAATCCATAGATAATAGGAAATATTGAATTATGTGTTTGAGAAAAATACTCACTCTTCCATTCGATGCGTGCGTCGGATCTCCAATTTTGAGTGTTATGATCGACGTCAACAACATTTTTAACGTAAAAAGCACTGTAATAATTTACTCCCACGAAGTCAAAAGATCCTTTTAACTTCTGGGATTGAGCTGCAGTAAACGACGGTAATCTTTTTCCTATTGATTTTTTCATGACTTCTGGATAGTCTCCATAGACCGTTGGATCCATATGCCTTCAAATCAAATATATTACTTAGTAAACATAATAGTATAAGAAATTAATATCAAACAAAAAAAATCAATAAGATCAATCACTCACCACCCAAACATAAATTCCATGGCACGCTCAACCGCCTCTTGATCATCTGGACAGTTCGAGTCATAAGGTTCGAACCAGACCGGACAATGTGCAATACCGATTTTCCCATCTTTACACTGTCATACGAATTATCATTTTATATCAATAAACTTTTTTTTTTGAACATAATATCAATAAACTTACTGGCAATCGATTCACTAATATCCTAATATAAGTAGAAAAATTTTTTATAAAAAAAAAAATTAGTAGAAAAAGACATGGACGTTTAAAAGAGAGGAAAAAAAATACTTTATCTAAAATCTTTTTTTTTTTTGTTTGTACCTTTGGGTTATTTCTGAAGACTTCAACAGCTTCTGCATGAGCTAAGAGTAGATTGTGACTAACAGTGTAAACCTCAAGACCAGATTCACCGGCTAAAGCTGCTTCGTTCATGTATTTAGATGCACGACCAGGAGCTTTTCTCCCGGTGTCGTAACCACCAATACTGTAAACCCATGGCTCATTTAGTGTCACCCAATATTTCACACGGTCACCAAATTCCTCAAAACATATGGTGGCAAAATCGCGGAAATCATCACTGCACCAATTAGGATTGTTTAGTGTATTCACAAAAAGTTAGATGTATATATCAAAGAGATAAACTTTTTAAAAAATTAGTATGAATGATGTTTTATTGTATTACTACTTACACAGCTTTTTCGCTTAAAAAACCCTTGTATTCATCTTCTAAGGCTTGTGGTGTATCCCAATGGAACAAAGTCGCTAGAGGTGTGATTCCTGTATATATATGATCATCTTAATTAGAAGACCTATATCTGAATTAACAATTACATATGATAAGTCAAATCGGATTAGGGTTGATTAGATACCGTTGGCTAGGAGTTCGTCGATGAGGTCGTTGTAGAATTTGATTCCGTCGTTGTTCACTCCTTTGCTTTTCTTTCCATCTATTTTTGGTAGAAACGTAAAGTTAAATAAATCTACATATTGTTTTTGAGTGAAATATTTTCTCATTAAACAAAAAAGAGTCTATAGCTTACGAGGAAGAATCCGAGGCCATGAGATTGAGAATCTGAATGAATCCATATTGATATCTTTCATTCTTTGAATATCTTCTTTATAATGGTGATAAAACTCCACTGCTTGGTCCGCATCAGAGTAACAATTCCTTTCTACACATACAAGGTTTAAATTAGTTTACTATATTATGTGTGTTTCAAAAAAAAAATGTTGTACTATATTTGTTTTTGTAACACTGTTTACTATATTATGTATGTATTCAAATTAACGATCTTATAATATATATAAATTAATATATCGATTTGTTGATATAGACCTGGATGTTTTCGGACAAAAGTATCCCAAACACTTAGCCCCCGAGAGGCATCGTTCACGGCTCCTTCGTATTGGTAAGCCGATGAGGCAGTCCCGAACAAGAAGCCTTCAGGGAAATCGGATCGGCCAAACGATTTCTTACCTGCGTAAATTTTCTTTCCTCTGAAATAAAATTAAAAAACCCGTTAACTAGTGTATATATATTAATGTCCATGCGGAAACAAAAGAACGTTTCTTCATTACACATAATAATTTAAGGCTTTAAGTTACTATTACTTACGGCATCATCTTGTTTTGCAACTTATGATCTTTATGGAATGAAGCTGGACTTATATATTTATTTCTCTCAAACTTATTTAAATAAATGAAATGAATGTAATGAGATTTTGGTTGTGATTGAAACGATCAGATATGGTACGGTTTTATATAGGCAAATGAAATCGCATTATGGGACTAAGAAAATTCAAACTTTAATTTAGTCAAACTAGTTGCCTACGTGAACTACGTCCATTGACTTGGCTTGTTTTATTTGATTCGAATTAATCTGGCAATAACCAAAACGAGAAAAGAGTGTGTATCGCTTTGTGTTCATATGCCAACTAGATTCTCCTATGTTGACTTCAAAGGAAAATATATAGTAGACAGTACGTAACAAATAAGACAGTGCCGGGGAAAATACGATACGACTGTGGATTTTAGAGTTTTGGATATATAGCTTTTCTTTCCTTGAGACTATATATTTCAAACTTTTAAAATATTTTTTATAATAAAGAAATTGCTTATAACTATTTCCAATTCGATTAAAGATCACGCTGAGTGATGGTGGATCAGTGTCTGTTCTGGCTTCATTGGACATATCATGTATATCTTCTTTTTTTTTTTGGTAAAAATATCATGTACATATCATGTATATCTTACAAGTGGCTTTTGTCTCTTTAGTGATTACTTCTTTTATGTCGACTACTTGCCTTTTCGTCAAATTTATGTATTAATTACGAATGTTGTTAACACATGTAGTTATACTAAAAGTGTAATGATCGACAATCGACACCATAACCTGAAAGCTACTATAACTCCATATAAATAAAATAAAAACTGAAAAGCTACTATAGCTGTACAATATTATGAACTTATTATGCTTATGGTAACTTTAAAAATTTTAAAATCATGAAAACACATTATTTAGTATAACGAAAACTAGTATAACAATCTTATATTGAATCCTTTGTTAAACAATACAGGCACTGAACTATATGTAAAGGCTTGATTTTCTTGTCATATGATAAATTGCTTGATGTTGGCCATTAACATTTGTGTTTCTTCAAATATATGCCATCGAAAATTCAAAACAGCAAAAGTTAGCAATATTTTTCTCTTTCTCCCTAAAAGTAAACACCGTGCTTGAACCTTTGTCTTGGTCAAATTTCTTCACTTCTTGTTCAAGTAAATCATCACTCAATAAATTTATAGAATTTTCACAGCGTGGCACAATTCCTAGCTTGTATTCATGCATGCGTGTATGCGACTCTCAGGCTAAAAAACTAAGAATATTAGTCAAAACGGAAAACTAATACAGAAATTGCACCCAATAGCTGTTTTGTTTGTTTGTAACACTAACACCCATTAGCTTAAAAAACTAAAATTCATAAAATAATCAAAATCACATTCTCTCCTCTTTTCTCTTACTATATATCTCTTTAACTTATTAAAAACAATTAATTTTATTTTTTTTCTTGATTATTAGCATAAGTTATTTCACTCCGACGACCATAACTAATATTTTATTGTTTTAAGTGTAAGTTTTTCAGTTTCAACTAACCGCGGGGAAAACCAGTATAAGACGACTCGATGATTAATTTACTCTAATCAATTCTAGTAACAACTTCAACTAAAAACAACTAAATAATGCTAGAAAATCACAACAGTTGTCAAAATAGGAACCCCAAGTTTAGTCTTTCCAATTATCTTAATCACGTCGTGTAATCTTGTGGATTTCCGTGTAATATTATACTCCCTCCGTTCCTTAAAGATATATATTCTAGAAAAAAATTTTGTTTCTAAAAGATCTATTTTTTACATTTTCAATGCATGTTTTATTAACTAATTGTAAACTTCAAAAAACTTAATTGCACTGATTGATTTTCTATTGGCTAAAAATTATGGAAAGAAGATAAATACAAAAAACAATGCAAATTTATTGTGTTTTATTAAAAAGTGTGAAAAAACTAGAATATGGATCTTTTAGGAACAGAGGGAGTATAACTCAAGTCTTTGCATGTAATGTAAAGCAAAATAATCAACAAGAAGATACGTGTAAAATGTTTATTGGTGTAAATTGATTTTTTTTCTCCGTTGGTATTGGTAGATATTCATAGTTTTTGGTTAATAGCGTAGAAAATGTTCATAGGTGTAAATTAATTTTTTTGTCACGGTGTAAATTAATCAAAAAACAAATTAGGTCAATATTTAACAGAAACAAATCCCAAATATATCTGCTACTAGATGTTCTATACGTAATAAACTCTCAGACACCGTCTAGATGATCCACTAAACCAATTTTGAACGTCCTGAGTACGTAACAATTACATAACGAAATTTACAATGCCTATAAATCCAGAAATAAAACTTAATCGCGTAGATGGTGAACAAGATTTTTTGAGGATCAGTTGACTTTAAGATTTATAGTTTATAGTAATTCTTGTATATTTATAAATGTTGTAAAGAACTCTTCCACATGGTTCAACAATGTATTGTATTTTAGAATCGATCGTCTTCGGAGACACCGCGTAAATTTGAGTACGAGCGAGAATTGGCAAGTTTTTAAAACTTATTATTCCACGTGATTACATAAGCATGTGTGGTAGGTAGGTAGATTAGAAAGCAATGATGAACCATTAATGAGAGAATAGTTAAAAAACATTAATGAGAGAATAGTTTAAAAAAACATTAATGAGAGAATAAATGAGTTAAGAAGATCCATCAGAACTGAGAATTTTAATATAGTTTTTCTACCTTTAGTCAGCTATTTCAATCTTTCCAAGTTTGAATAAAGATTTTTCGTAGACGTCCGCAAAGATTATCACTATTTTATCAAAAAGATAATTAACGCTCATGCTATTTCTTATAGTATGTAGAAATTATATCGTACATTACCTTTTTTGATAATTTTTTTTTACCTACTTATTAATTGATTTGTACTTTTATTTTTTTTTTGAAAAAAAAATGATTTGTACAAGTACAAAACAAGTACAAGTACTTGATTTGTATTTGTAAGTATCTAAATTCTACAATTTGATATTCGATTTGACGATATAGTGTACATTACTTACAATAACAATAATGATATTTTGATTATTACTGAAGATATTTAAATGAAATACATGTACGTACAACACGATCACAAACCAAAAACAAAATTAGAAAAATCTATCTGAGTAACCCTTTAGCAATTTAAAATATATATGAACCTCAAAAATAGATTTTGGATATGGTTGTTTTTTTCAGTGTCATCACGCTCATAAGTTGGAGAGTTTAAACATGAGCTTGCTTTTATTTTCTTAGTCTTTATTGTAAAAAGGCATTTTCAAGAAGACGCATTTTCAGCTTATATAGAACGACGATGAAATTCATAATTTAGGGCATTAGTGGACAACGGATCATTATGGGAACAAAAGTTTACTGAGCCGCAAAACATACTTATTACTACTAGTTTATAGTACAAAAGTTAATTATTTTTCAGTTAAACCTTACAACAAATTGACAATCTATTTTTTTGATAATGATCATTAATTGCTTATATATATAGATATTCCAGCTGTCTATATGCTGCGAATCAAGGCAATACGATAACAATGGACTTTTCGAGTGATTTGTTGAAAAGTATACTGCTTATCGCCAAGAGTTAAGTTAGTGGCTGGTACGAATTTGAACACTTTCCAAGTTTTAGGATTGCTTCAAAAGTTCTGATATTTCTTGGGATATCCAAGAAAAGGATACTTTCGTTGAATACCTACACTTTTGGGACTTACCTTAGCAAGTTGCAACCTATTTATTTGGACCGCCAACACAGGAAGCAACTTGGGAACGTGTGAATAGTCAAGAACGTGCAAGTGCGAGTGATGAATGTGGTGACATTTTGGCACGTGACTAATAGGAACTTAGCATCAATTTTTGACACATCACCTTTTTTTTTTGCTAAACACATCACTTAATATACTTGGAGGATCATGCTATTGTTCATTCAAAAGGTTAGAACACCTCCAACAATGGCTTCAAAGTGCACATTGTTGGGAAGAAAAATTACTACTAGCAATGGTAAAAACACAACCCTTTGTAATAAGAGGAGCATTTTGGCATCATCTTCCTACTCTCTAGCAGATTGGAATGCAAATGTTGTGTATCGAATTGCATTTTACTCCGTAATGAAATTTACATTCTTATTAAAAAATCTCTTATGCAATAAATAAAGTAATTATTTTAGTGTTTCTTCATTAGCATGCATCATCTTACCGGATTTGAAATCTAGGTAAAAGATATATTAATACTTTTTTTAATACTTCACGAATATTTCATAAAGGTCGGCACATAATTTTTTTTGGAATAAAATCGACACATAATTTAGAAGAAAGGAGTTGACAATTCAAACTTGAGCTATCAGTATGGTCATGCCACCACCTTGCGATAATGAAACTGATGAGTCGACTCCGTGTGCAAAGTAAGTCTTTGGAGAGAACAAATTACATGTATCTGTATTTTTTTCATTTTCGTAAATTAATAACATAAATTCTTTTAGTTTAACAAAAGAAACCCATTTGGTAAGTTCGTCTCTCAGTGCAAGTATTCCTCTCCTGAAATTCTGTTTTACTTTCCTGCCTCTCGACATTTTTTTTCTTTGTCTTTATTAGTTTTAAGGGTTTGTACGTATTATGCCCAACTTTTGGTTCCGGAATAATACATGTTACTTCGTCGGTTCTTGGGCCCGGGTGGCACTTGTTATCTCGCTAGTTATTGGCTCCGGAAGGATAGGCAATATCTCTACCGTCTTTGTGATCTAATCTTATTTTACAAGATTACAAAAAAACCTATTTGGTTATCATTTTTCCACACATGTATATGAATAATAACTTTTTGAGTTAATCAAGTGATGGTAGTTGTTGATAATCTCTTGAAATTTGGTGTATATTCATTTCAATTTTAAGTTTGATTTCTTTTAATAACTAAATTATCATTATTTGACCAATCTAAATTTAGAATCCAGTTTATATGGTAAACCAAATCAGATGATCAGTTTATTTTCTGATTTAGTCGAAATTTATTCTAAACTCGGATTAGACGGTAATCTACTCTAGGATAGATATCAAATCTAGGGCTCGTTCTCGGGGTTGGCTGATGATTTCCCAAGAGGCCAACATCGATTTTTTCTTTCAATCTTCGGTTATGTGACTCATGCAAATGATTGGGCCTTAAACACTATTGCTAATAAATGCTCATATGTAAATCATATGGGCTCGTTTTAAACCTTATTACAGGTAAGCGATCAAAACGACTGTGTTTGATTCCCACGTTATATTTTATTTATGATTATCTATTTTCCGTCTCCTCACTCTCCTTCTCTGTTCTTATTAAGGAAAAAAAAAAAAGCTATCGCCAAATCTGTGATCAAATCTAAATCACTCCCAGTGGAGCTCCGATTCGTCGCCAAAAGAAGTTCCCAATTGATCATAAGCTCTTCACAAACACTCTATACGAACACAAAAAATCGAGTCTTTGTTCTAGTCAAATTGAAATCAACCCTCGTGAATCACTTCTTCTTCTTCTTCTTCATCTTGCTTTCGTCTCTGAAGAATTGGGGATCAAATCAATCGTGATGGACTACGAATCGTTTGATAGCAGCGGTTAGTCCCCCTAACACTGTAATTAGATAAAAACGCCTTACTTGTTCTTCTTCTGAAAATAGGGTTTACGAAAAGTTTTGGACTTTATCCGTTTCAGTATTGTTATTCATTCAAAGGTTTTGTGGGTTTGTGTTTAACTCTCGTTTTAAGGAAGGTCTTGTGGTTTGTTGTTAAGGAATGTTGCAAATCAATGAAGCTTTGATTGAGTTTGATCTTAAAGGTGAAATTAGGGTTTACGAAAGTTTCGGACTTTCTCCGTTCTGATAGTGTTATACATTCTAACCTTTGGTGGGTTTGTGTTATACATTGTAACTTTTGGTGGGTTTGAGGTTAAGCTGAAATCTTTTTCAATTGTATGATTTTTTGCTGTTGCTGTCTACAGGAACAGATGATGATCTGCCTCCATCGCATAGGGTTGCAAGAGGAGGGCGTGTGGCTGGTAATGGAAGACCTTCGAGTCTTCCTCCATCTTACCCTAAGATGTATGATGAAGTTGCTGCTGATATGGCAGCTCAGATTCACCAGATGGAGAAGGAAGCATACGTGTCTATCCTAAGAGCCTTTAAAGCACAAGCAGATGCCATCACTTGGGTATTTCAATGATTCTTTGGTTTACTTCTTCTTATGTTAGTTTATGGCTAATCTCCTTTTTTTCTTTATGTATGTATCTTGTTCAGGAAAAGGAAAGTCTTATAACTGAACTGCGTAAGGAGTTGAAAGTATCCAATGAGGAGCATAGAGAGCTTCTCGGTCGTGTAAACGCTGATGATACAATAAGAAGGATAAGGCGAGAAGCTTAAATCTTTGAGCATTTATAGTTTCTTTCTTTTTCTATCAATAACATGTATAGTTTTCCTTTATTAGGGAATGGAGACAATCTGGAGGAATGCAACCAACTATGCGCAATGCTGCTCAAGTGGTTCATGATACCTTGCCAACACCTTCTGTTTCAGCTTCTGTTAAGAAGCACAAGCCAAACCAGCCAATACCTTCTCAACCCTTCGCTTCACCTTCTTTTCATCCTCAAGCTGACCCCACTCACCAGTTTGCTTCATCCACAGCTAAACGAGGATCTGTTCCCAATGTCAAGGGGAAAAAGCATAAACCAGTGAGTTAAAGACTCGTAAATTTGGTATCTTTGGTTGTTACTTTATTAGAAATGATTCTTTTAATGTATTTCCTCCCCTTTCTTAGGGTTTCCCTGGTTCTTCTTCTGCAAAACCCATCTCATACCATCCTCCAGATCAACCTTCACGAGGACAAGTCATGAGCAGATTGCCATCTGGTCCTAGCAGTTCAACTGAACCCACAAACGGAACCGAACCTGAGTCTTTTGTAGGAAGGAAAGTTAGAACAAGGTGGCCAGAAGACAATACATTTTACGAGGCTGTCATCACCAAGTACAATCCAGTTGAGGTGTGTGGCTTCTTAAATTGGCATAAAGTTTCTGTAATGTTATAAAATAAGAAGTTTCCTTATATATTCTTCTAATCTTTAATTTTAGGGTCGCCATGCTTTAGTTTATGACATTGGAACGCCTAACGAGACATGGGAATGGGTCAATCTCTCAGAGGTAATTACTTTCTGATCATAATGAGAAAAACATTTTGTGTTATTTTGTAACCAAGATCTCTAATATTTGTACAGATATCTCCTGGGGATATTGAGTGGATAGGAGAGGATCCTGGGGTTGGTAATCTATATAGTTATAACGGACAAGGCCATGGTCTGAATAGAACTACAGGACCCAATAGTGTTCCACAACGGGGAAGCGGTTTGGCAAAGACCTCTATCAAAAAAGATTTCAGAACAGCACAGAATGGAACTGGGAAAAGAAAATATCCCGATATACAAATACGTCAAACCAATGTCCTAATTAGAGAGGTTGGTATTAATTTCTGTCAAGTGTAGCCGAGTTTACAATGTATGTATGTCTTGTTTCTAAAACGATGATGTTTTCTAATAGGTGGAAAGAGTTCTTGGTTCACACAATCCAGATCCTCAAGAAGTTGAAAGGGCTAAGAGAATGTTGGAGGTTTGTTGGCTACAACAACAAAGATCTCTTTCTTTTTTTATGTTATGTTTTACATACAAAAAGCCTCAAATGGTTTATTATTTTACCTTTGATTCAGGAGCAAGAGCATGCGCTTGTGGGTGCAATCGCAAAACTTGGAGATATATCCGATGGAGAAAATGGTAAGTGTTTAGTTTGATTTAATAAAGCGTTTAGCATCTTCAAGCCCTATATCAGGAGATGCTTGTAATCTCAAATGAAAAGGCCNTTTTACATACAAAAAGCCTCAAATGGTTTATTATTTTACCTTTGATTCAGGAGCAAGAGCATGCGCTTGTGGGTGCAATCGCAAAACTTGGAGATATATCCGATGGAGAAAATGGTAAGTGTTTAGTTTGATTTAATAAAGCGTTTAGCATCTTCAAGCCCTATATCAGGAGATGCTTGTAATCTCAAATGAAAAGGCCTTAACTAAAACTCTCCTTCTCTGTTTTTTTGTACAGAAGGTGGCTTTCGTCGCTAACTTGTGTTTTGATAGAATCAAGCAATTTTGCCAAGGCACAGTGCAATCCGGTGCACGAGGAGCCAATGAAGAAGAGAGCATTTGTTGTGATTTGAGTTCAGAGTCTCAACTTCTTTGATGTTGCCTTTTTGGAGCATATGACTGTAATTTTTGTTGACATTAGAGGTTAACTTTACTTGTTGGTTATGTTGGATATATGTTCTCAAATGGAACTGTTTCAGCATCTTGTCGCCATACCTTGTGTAAAGACTTTGATAAGAACACAATCTTTATAGTCTATAAAGTGATGTGCTCTTATCAGACTCAAATGATGGAAATGAGCAAAATATAACAAAAAAAAAAGGAATTAATCTTATGTCAACAAACCAAAGTACACTTGACCTAATCCATAACTAAGATTGAGAAAGAACAAACCCAAAACACATTCTATGGATATACAAATATCTTACTCTACATCATCTCCTGCTTCTTTTCTTTGGCTGTTTGTTGTCCTTTCCTGTGCTTCCACTTTCCCTACCTCGTTTCCCTGAGGCAGTTGCGGTGGCTGCCTCCACGGTTTTCTTCTGTGGTGGTCTCCCGGGAGCTCTTTTCACCGGAGTAGTATTCTCCACCTCTGCCTTCTTTTTACCCCTACCCACATTGTTGCTTCTAAGTTCTCTTGGTTTCGCTTTACTCTCTTTCTTACCGTTACCACCGCTCTTATTCTGATCTTTGTCTTCCTTTTGCGGAGAGCCCTTCTTTATCCTCTTCAAGAAGTCAGCCACACTCTTCTTCTTATCTGATGAAACCACCACCTTCTTCTCTGTTTTCGCTTCCTCCTGTTTCTGTTTATTCTTCCCTTTACCCGTCTTTGTATTGTTAACTGTTCTTTTCGAGCTTCTTCCACCAGTCTCAACGTTCTCATTCTCCTCTGATAATGTCTCTTCTTTCGTCTCCTCTTTCTGACTAAAGCTTGACGACGATGGAGAAGCCTTAGCCTTAGCGGAAACAAATCTTCTCCTCTTACAAGCGACAAGAGGAGCTGAAGACTTCTGTTCTGATGTCTCTGCAGCATCTGCTTTGATACTAGTCATAGCTGCAGATGCTTTTAACACCCGGGGACTCGGTTTCCCGCTCTCTTTCCTCATTTCTTCAGAGACAATGGATCTTAGCTCATGAGCAGCCATTGATTCTGATGAAGATGAAGGGAAGAAGGTAATAACGTTTGTGAAGAGAAGCTGAAGATCTCTGTAAAAAGTGAGCCTTGAAGAATCATACGATCCTTGCTTCAACTTCCTCTGTATTGTCTCAATGTCCAAATGTTGCTTAACCAAACTCTTGTAATCCTCAGTCTCCTGCGTGACAAAAATAGATAAAAGCCCATTAGGCCCAACTAAAAACCTATAATCAAATGGGCCTTAAAAGAAAGACACGATGAAAGTCGTACTATAAACAAGATACTGCCACGTGTCATAGATTGTGTGAGCAAAAAGACAACGATTACACCAAGAAAGAAGTAGGGTTAGTTAAGTTTCATTCTTTCTTTCCCTCTATAAAAAAAATACGTTCCCATAAACCGTCGAATAAAATTCAAAAACGGACGTTTAAAAAAAAATTCTAAAATGTAGAAATTCATTACAGAATAAGGAATATATGGATTTTTTCAAAATTCACATTTACAGCTTTTTATGTATGGATTTATTATTATACAATAATATTACTAAATTATGTAACAAGTTTGAATTTTCTTTTCACTAGTATTAGTTGGATTAAATAATGGAAGAAAATAAGATATCTATTAGCATTACCTGGCTTCGAACCCGGCGTTCGAACAAAGATCCACGCGGATGGGACCGAATCAAATCAAGAAGACGTATCAACGGCTGTGATTCACTCGCCGCCGATCTGATCTCTCCGTCACTATCTTTCCGTCGCTTCCTTCTCCACTTCCTCCCCGACGTCCCTGACTCTCCCAACTCTCCCGAGAGACTCCCCTCCGATCCTTCCTCCGCCGTATTCACCGGATCGGGATCCGCGTCACCACCACGAGCCTGCTCACCGTCTCCGCCGACGGTTTTCTCGGCGGAGCCTGTCGAGTTCGACTCGTTCATCGACCTGTTTTCCCGGTCAGACTCCTCCGCCGTCGTAACCGCCTTTTCACCGCCGTCCTTCTGCAGATCTAGCTTCCCGCCGCCGTCTCTTTCCTCCTCTAGCTTCTTAACCTTCTTCTGAAGCGATCTGATAAAACCAAAAAAAAAAAAAAAAAAACTCAGATCCATCGTAAGAGATGGAGATAGAGAGATTCTGCCACGTACAGTATCGAAACATCGTACTGTTCAACCTCTCGCCGGAGCTCCGCCACACGGAGGCTACGCAGCTCCTCAAGCCATGGTATATCCGTAACCGCCTCACCGTCGGAGGAGGATTCGTTGAAGCGACGTTTGAGATCTTGATACTTGTGCTTACAATTATCAGCGGAGAATAATAAGGCGGAGATGGAGGAGGTGCGGGATCGAACCTCCGTGGAGACGGAGTCCCAGTCACAAAACCCGTGTCGTTTAACGGCGCATGCCAATAAAAGCTCCTCCCACGTGCCCCAACCTTGCTTCTTCTTCCTATTAACATCTTGGTCGTCACCGTTACTGTGATCGTTATTACTGCAAATATAGTCGTTGTTATCGTTCATGCTATAAGATCCCGCCTCTTCTTCTTTTACCTTCGTCATGCTTCCATGATAACTTTTTTTAGAGACTCGTCTCTCTCCCGTTAACAAAAACGCTCGCAGTTTTAGGGATTTTTATTCTTTCTTTCTTTCTTTCTCCTCTTATTATTATTATTTTATCTATATACTTTGTATTGTTGCTTTCTTGTCTTCCTCGCTCTCGCTTATTGTTTCGTGCTTTCTTCTCTCATCTCATTTATAAATACTCTCCCTGAGTTTGTGTATGTGTGTTTCATTTTGGTATAATATATGGTTTTTCTTTTTGTGGATGGACATGTGTGGTCACTAGGCTATTCAATGGAAATATATCGTTTGAAATTTTGTTCCTAAATTGGGTTAAGAAAGTATATATTTTTTTATTCGAATAAATTAAATTTATTTTTGAAAGTGTAATTTGAAAAGTGGATTAAGCAAACCCTAGTTTTAACCGCAGCTTTTTATCCTTTGACCCTTTCCCTTTATCCACCATTAGGGCAAACGATTTGTTTAAGTTGAGAATTGTTTAGTTTTGAAACCCATAAACGAGCCCGGCCCGGTTAGAAGGTACGAAAGCAATTTACATGAATGTCCCTCTTTGGTTACTATAAATGGAATCTCGTTTTCTGATTGTGTTTTTGGTGAAAGTTAGGTTAGACTGCGTTTACGTACATATGGGGGAGGTTGTCCCCAAAGATATTGTACATGTGTATTTTTTTTTTTAATTGTACATGTGTATTAATTTACACACAAAACTAATTATGGCCCCATTCATTTTCCTTTGTTTTCCCCGTTTTTCATTTTGGAAATAAAACATTGCTTTTCTGTCCCATTCACTTAGCTAATTTACATATATATTGCCTTTTTGTATTTTGATTTTTCTACAATTCTAGTAACTTTCTAATTGAATTATGCTCGTTATGCAAACTAAATATAGTATTTCAAGATTTTTTGTCATTATATATTTTTTATTTAGTATTATTTATGCTTAGTTTTTTTTTTGGTCCAGAATCTTTGGCATTATAAAAAATGTTTTGATTATTTCTATTAATCATATATGTACATAATCTTTTCATTTCAGTTTAATTGTCATTGTCATTGCATATTAAAATTTCTATTATAAAATAAATGTCGTTCTCTAATTCAAATGTTAAATTTATTAAATTTGTATGATATATAACTTTTTATATTATTTAGTTTGTTTTTCGCTGGTTGAAATATAGAAATATTTTTAAGTGCACAGATTATATAGGTTATGATATTTATGTTAAAAATTAAAATAAAATGTTTTATTTTACAAAGCTAAAAAGACAATTAAAATGAAATTAGAGAGTAATACTAAGAAAATGAATATGTTGGTTTTATTATTTATGTTAAACACTGTTTTATATTTATTTTTATTGATATTTATATATAGCATATAATTATGGAATCTATAGATATTTAAAATATTCGGTCGGATGAAAGGTCTGATGGACAATTGGAATAACTTAAATCCATGGGCCTCAACATATAAGCCTACCTGGCCAGGCCCGATCGAGCCCACGATTTAAGACAAGTATATCGTTAGGTCCCAATCTAGCAAAGTCGCTCAACTTTGTTCTTACACTCTTGTGTTCCAAGAATCAAACCACACGAGTTGTTAAAACATTTAGAGAAGTCAACATCTTTTCCAACTTCCATTGGCAGTCCTTTCAAACACATGTGGTTGTCTCTTTGGGAAGGTTTTGCTCCACTCTGGATATTTTAGTAAATACTTCCAAATCCTGAAACACACAATGAAATATGAATCATCTCTGTGTCAGTTCCATGATGGGATATAGATAGTGATCAAATGACTACGAACCTTCTTTCATTGTCTACGAAATCTGGACCTTCAGCAGAAGGTGAGGTGGAACAGTTAACAAGAATCTCTTCATCAGGAAGCTGATTAAGTTCCCACACGTATTCAACCAGCCGCATTGTCCTGTAATTACAAAAACACAGCTCATAAGTACATAACTGTAATGTAGTGAAAATGAGGTTGAAGAAACGTTATTGTGTTTTACCAGGAGCATGGTGCGATGATGAATCTATCAGCTTTTGTGTCATATGTGTCAAGTAACTTCCCCTTCCAGCTAGAATCTTCGAATGATGCCGACACTCGGATTCTACGAACAAGCTCATCCGGACATCTAGAAGATCTGTTGAAACTGGCTGGGGAAATTGCACCGGTGGAGGTATTCACCTGATTAAAATTGTTACAAAGAAAAACGGTAACATTTAATTACTAATTCATATATATTCTGTTTAAAAACCTCATAGTTCCTTGAAGAGGAAAGACATTATCTTCAGGAAGTAACAGAGAAAGTAGACTGACCAGGCATCCATTAAAAATGGGGCACGTGTTCCCTTGACCATCCAACTTGGTATTGTGCCCAAGAATAAATAAGGTTTGAATGTGAAAGTTTTCTCTTCTCTTCTGTAAAGTTTCCACTAATTTGCAACACAAAGGAAATGAGTAACCCTCTAGTCTGGCATAGTCACCACCACCATTGGCATTCTGCAAATAATCAGTCAATACATTCATCTTAATACCATTCTATAGCCAAGCGCTAACTAAACTGAGAGATATAGAAAACCCTGGTGTATACTTTTAAATCCACATCTTCATAACCACCAACCATATGTACCTGCATACGAAGCCCCATGGACATATTAAAAAAAGGACTAAAAATAATATAATGAATGATTAACATAAGCTCAGAGAGAGACAATACATCTAACTCAGCGCCATCACTGTCATCCTCTAAAACCAAAGATAACATCTGGCTTATCCCCAAGTCCACAACTTTTGGTGAATCCATGTGTGCAATAGAAGTCCTGCAGTTTCAGATTCATCACAAAACTTTAAAACTAAAGGTGATTGATTGCACATTCTTATAGAACAGTCCTTACACTCCAGATCTTCTGTTGCGGATAACAAGACCTACACAAGTTGTTGCTTCATCCATGCCAACAAACTTCTCATCAATAAAACAGAATCATTAGAGAAAGAAACAAGAACACTAAAGTGAATAATTAAAAAAAAAACATAACTTCATACATACATCAACAAGAGCTGGATTCACAACAGCATATTCTCTTTGGAATACGTAAACATATCTGTCTTTCGTTGAGCTGCTCTCTGTAACTTTCTGTTCCTCAAGATTCTTAAATGATTCAGAAGCTGAGACTATGACAGGATGTGTCATTACATCAACAAGCAAGCTGCTTCCCTGTTCCACGTTGGTCAACCATTCAGCTTGCTTCTATACCAAGTATAAAGTCAAAATAAGTAAACTTTTACATCGTCAAGAAACTAGATTTAGTTAAAACTAGTGAATGGAGATTTGTGAGAGACGAAGAAAGCTACCTGCGATGAAGAAGAGGAAGAAGATGAGCTGTTCTCATCTGAAAAGAGCACTCCGTCGACGTAGATCATGATCGCCGGAGAAAAGAGAGAAACAGAGCTTCAACGACGGCGATGACAAGAAGAGATCGCCGATGACTTTAATGCGTTGACAAAGACAAGTAGCGCTTTAAGTAAAAAAGTAGAACACTGCGTGCCGTTTTCTAGTTTCAAATGTAAGACATCGTGGCGTTTTAAATACGACACTCTTCGGATTTAATGAGAATTGTAAAACTGGGCAGAATGTTTTGTTTTCTCACAAATATACCCCATAACTTTGAGAAACATACAGATTAGTAAGATGGTGAGTTTTTGAAGTTGATTTTCTTTAAATCTTGAATTTGAAACCAAACACTTCCAGGAAATGTAATTAGATTATTTTACCAAAAAGAAAGAGAAATAAAAACTCTGACATCAAAAGTTTCAGAGAATTACAAGTCCACAAAGAATGTACATACACATTCAGACAAATCCAAGGAGGAAGCAAAGACAAGGTCACATGAGAGCTTTGTAAATGATTCAAGATTTTTAGCTTAGTCTCCTTCTAGATGACCTGGTCCGAGGTCCATTGTTTACATCTTCAGTTCTTCTCCTAGACGATGAAGCTGAAGTAACAACCACTTCACTAGAATTAACAAACCCAGGAACAGCAAAATCTCTAGGTGAAGATGATGAACCTGCAGTATTACTACTTTGGTTCCTACGAAGAGAAGAAGAGCCTCGTAATGCAGGTGAAGGACCAATCTCAGCAATACGTGAAGACCTACGACGGTTTGTCCTCAAACTAGCTGTTGTTGTATCAACAAAACTATCAACATCAAAAGCATCATCAGAGGTTGGTGCTGGTGGTGGCATCTCCGAGCTGCTATCTACAACAAGACCCGGGAAAGAAGTAAACGGTGACAACAACCTCAAATTATTCTGTTGATTTCTCACCACACGGTTGTTATTGTTACCTCCTCCTCCTCTACTGGTTACAATATTAGTCAAACCAAACTCATCACCTTGAGCTAAAGCTTGTAATCCTCCTATAGAATCAATAGTCCTCCTAATATGCTCGAGCGTCTCAGGACCAGGGATAAAAGGGTTGCCACGGTTTATAATCTTTTGACGAATGCTTTCAACTCTCTTTGCATTAGGCCTTGGAGGTAAACGAATACCACAATCCTCACGCTTGGCTTTATTGCTCCCACCATCATCTCCATCTCCATTACCGTAGATTGGAATCACCTCGGTGTCAGTAACTTCTCCGTCGCAAACAGGACATTCTTTAATGTTTAAGTAAATGAAAGGTAA